GCAGTGCTGGGTTAACGGTTGGACTTGATGATCTTAAGGGTCTTTTCCAACCTTAACGATTCTATGATTCTATGATACAGACAGGCAATAAACCAGCAAAAGAAGTCATCTTCAGAAGATACTCTACTGTGGCGGTGTGAAGTTTCTACAGAGGCTGATATTGAAGTTCCTCTGCCTTCAGACAGGGTATCTGTGCATATCTAGAACTACCCTATCAGAGCAGTTCATCTTGACATCTTGCCTACGCTTGATTCCTATCCAGAAACTGGGTGTTTCTTTCTCTGTCCCTTAAGAACTTAATGAGTCAGGCAATTTCAGAGCTTGACTAACCCATAACTGTCTTCTACAAACTGTAGCTGTCAGTGAAGGAGGGGAGACAACTGCCCACTGGCTGCCATCTGTATGGCACACGCTTAACCTCTTTAATTCAGGGAATGCTACTATGGAGCAAAGTAAAATACTCAGGATTAAACATGCTACAGAGACTGCCGAGACGCCCTGTGACTCTACAGTCTCGTGGTTATGGCATCTACCTGCAGGAACGCTCCCAGAACTGAATGGAAATTCAGTCCTGAAACCTCTTGCCACAGACACAGGCGCATTTGTACGAGACAGCACTTTGGTGCGGTCCTTTGGCTTTCATGGATGGATGAAAAGACAAGAAGTAGTGCTTAGTGTTGGAAATCCTCAAGCCTCCAGACTACTAAGAGAAGACAGAGACGCCTTTCATATCCGTAAGTCACAGCAAGAGCCCGTTGCGCCGCAGTTCGCTCCCCAGATGAAGGCCTGGAGGCCGCTCTCCTGCCGTGCCCTGCCTGGCCAGCCTCGCCCCTGCCTGCCGAACCTGCCCGTCCGCCTTCGCCGGGTTCCGCCGTGCGGCAGCGAGCCCCGGCACACCCCCGCAGCCACCGGGCCTTGGTGTCGCCTCAGCGGCGGCTGGGGGCGGCAGGGGGGGCCCCGCCCCGCCCCCCCCCCCCGGCGCCCGGGGGGGGTCCCCGGCCCCGCGCTGCCGCCGTCCTGCGGCCCCCTCCCGCCCAGCGCCTGCGGCCCCACCGCTTGCATGGGCACATGGGGGGGGCAACAGCCCGAG